CTCCAACTACAGAAGCTGGGGAGGGCAAACAGAACCTACTTATCCTGCTCTGATCAAACTAGGAGGCAAACAAGTGACCTGGGCATGGCCAACCCAATGGTCTTCCCTAGGACTTTGAGTAAGTGAAGAAAGGATGAAAAGAACACTAGAAATAATCTCCATGAAAGGCAGGAATTAAAAGGAAAGAATTTACCAAGTGCAATGAAATCACTCATCATGAGTGGAACTGTTCTAACCACTTCTTTTTGTTGTTGTTCCTGTTGCTGCTGTTGTTCTATCCACTTCTACAATGCTTTATTATTTCTCTTCTAAAGTCCTTCCGTAGCTTCTTCTCACACATGTCCCACATTTCATTTTACTGCCATCTATACTTTAGGCATTCTCTACCTGTTTAGTGCCGCCATTTTTTTTAAGATTATTAAATATTCCCTTTTGTCCCATCCAGCCCTCAAGCCCTGGTTAGGTTCAAAACCTAAGCTGCCTTCTCTCTTTTGAAATTCTAAGCGGTTGTAATTTCTCTGCTGCTTTCCCTTTCAAGTACTATAATTCAGAATTTCCCTTTCTCAGAGGGTTAATCATCATCAGGCCAGGGCATAGCTGGGAATGAGCAAAGAGGGTGAGCTGGGATCAGAAAAGCATTCTACACACATGAAGCATTAGTTCTGGGCGAAATGGAACAAAGGACAGGTAGCCAAAGATAATTACATATATTCTTACTAATGCTTTTTTTAAGCACCTAAAAGGTGGAAGTGTATTGATATTTACTGATAGGATGACAATTTGTGCTCATTTCAATAGCACCGTGGGGGAAATATCTAATTCCTCTTTTATCTAAGGAATCATATTGGTAGATGAAATAAATTTCCTTTTTTTAAATAGTAATAAGAAACACTCTGTTCTATAATACTGAGAAGTTTCTAAATTCACATATTTCAAGTATTCTTCTTCATTCACAGTCTGTAAAAGTGCACATTTCATTTGCAATTGAAACTTTTTTGGAGACTCTTCCAAAGACAGGCAAACAGGATGGGTTTGAGTAGAGATGCAGCAAATAATTTTTTTTTGTTAATGTTGACTATGTTCCAGAAGAGAGATGGTATGATGCCTACCCCTGTAATGTCTGGCTGGTTTTGTCAGGATGATAATAAATCATTTCTGGATTTTCCATCTAAACTTTCTTCGTTTTGCTCCTTCCACTCTGCTCTACTTTTGAGCTATAAAATTTTGCTCTCTCCATTTTCCAGAATCAGGCCAACAATCACTCATGACAATTACTACCTTCCATGCCCATTCTCATCTCCAAGATACGGGAATAAGCCCATGATAGTAGCTCTCAACCCAGCTGTCCATCAAAATGACTTGTAGAAGATCTGGAATATAGACTGCCCAAGAGTCATCCTGGAGGCCATAACTGCCAAAGGACCCTTGGTTCCCAGATAATTCTGATAGATAGCCAGGGTTAAAAAAACACCAACACAGGAACATAAATTCTAGTTTCAGGGATATGTTAGAATGCTAAATCAACATACCTTTACCTAACCAATTATACTTTCCTTATAGAAACTCATACGTACAAAACCAACATCAAGATAGTTGCTGTTTGGAATAAGCCTTCTTTAAAATCATGGAGAAGTGGGGCACTGGGTGGCTCAGTGGGTTAAAGCCTCTGCCTTTGGCTCGGGTCATGGTCCCAGGGTCCTGGGATCGAGCCCTGCATCGGGCTCTCTGCTCAGTAGGGAGCCTGCTTCCTCCTCTCTCTCTGCTGCCTCTCTGCCTACTTGTGATCTCTCTGTCAAATAAATAAATAAAATCTTAAAAAAAAATCATGGAGATGTTACTAATTCCTGGTACATAGAAGAATTCACTCAGCCTATCTCCAGGAATACCCTTTGTATTCAGACTTCTTTTTTTTTTTTTTTTTTTTTATCACAGAAGTGATGTCAGGGGCTCCTGCGTGGCTCAGTCGGTTAAGCATCTGACTCTTGATTTCAGCTCAGGTCCTGATCTCAGGGTCATGAGATAGAGCCCTGTGGAGAACTCTGCACTCAGCAGGCAGTCTGCTTCTCTCCCTCTTCCTCTCCCTCTGACCCTCTCCCAGCTCACATCCATGCTCTCTCTAAAATAAATAAATTAACTAAAAAGAGAAAGAAAGAAGGAAATGATGTTAGAAATGACAAGTACAATTGAGACTGTGTTGGGAATATTATGCATGTGGGGGGATGAGATGTTATAGTTCTCTAAGAGTTCTGTAAATTCTACCACGGAGATTTTTACAGCAAAACTTCCAGGTCTAATTAGCTACAATCACATTGCTCAATACCAGCCACCAACTATGTATGCTTATGGAGCACCTGAAATTAAGAAATTTAAAATTTTCTGTTAATGTAAAATACACAAATTTCAAAGACTTCATGCCAAAAAAAGTAAAATATTTTTACATTTTTATGTTGAGTATAAGCTGAAATAATAATATTTGTAGATATTGTTTTAAATAAAATGT